TATATAAAAAATATAAATTTTTTTTTGCAAATGTTTTGTTTTTCGAAAAAGATTTAATTGAACTCTTTTTCACATGAATTACTCAGCTTTTCAAAAATCTTCAAATGCATGCTGAAAATAAAAGCTTCTCTTCAACAAATTAAATCATGGATATCTAGATTTAATCAATGTCACAAAAAACCAGCACTGAAATTGCAATTGAAACAATGCTCACAATTTCTTGTTCTTAAACTAATGATCTAAATAAAAATTTATTCATTTTATTTGTTTCATTTGTTTATTTGAATAAAAGTTCAATAATTGAATATCAAATTAATTATGAATAGTTTGAATAATTTGAATAATTCTTAACTCTATATATAAATAATTTTTAAAAACGGATTGTCAAATTTACTTACAACTTTCGAACCCTGTTTCTCAAAAAAAGGCATTCTGATTTTCTCACCCTAAATAGGGAAAAAAAATATGGCAGGAGATCACCAAGATTTTAACCAATTTTCTAGAAGAGGAAAAATCTGTCAAATTTCAATTTGATGGGGTGAAATAATGGTATTACTCATTTTTTTTAGGAATAGAAATAGTATGTATTTCCGGGTGATGTTTTTATTATGTAAGCCATATTTGTATGTTTATTGAATTATCTAATACTAATAAAGTAAATAAATAAACAAGTATCTTTTTTTTTTACAAACATATTCAACTTCTGAAGCTCATTCAGTTCATTTTCTCGTTTTTATTTCATTAATCCATTCACACATTAATCCATTCACCCATTCACCCATTCATCCATTCACGTTATCAATTTCATAAAAAATTTTTTCAAAATAACTTTGTACAACAATGAATTTTTGACAGAAAAGAAATTATTGCATAATCGTTAAACAAAGTCATGTGATTTATTATCGTGTGAAACTTAATTTTATTATAGAGAGTAGATAACAAATAAAATAATAAAATAAAATAAAGTAAAATAAAATATAACAAAACGAAGTGAATATAAAAAATCTTAATTGTTTAAAAATGAATCTTATATAAGCTTAATAAAATGAAAAAAATTAATAAAAATATATAATAATTAATAAAATAATAGAAAGGCCAAGTCCACGGAACTAATATTTAAAAAGAAAAAGAAAGGGATCAACACAATAAAAAAAAAAGTATTTTTTAAACCCGCATAAATGTTTGCCATAAAAAATAAACACACACACACAAATAATATTATCTATCGATCAAAGATATTTTATGATGATCAAAAATTCCAATTGATAAGAATTAATCGAAACAATTAAACCGAAGATATGAGATTATTACGTGTTTTTAAAACAACCTGAATTAAAAAAGATCGAATTTAGTTATATCATTATATGTATTATTAATTAGAAATTGAAAAGTTGGAAAAAAAAAACCTACATTGTTCTAGGTGTTCCAAAGATGAATGAAGATCATTATATAATTAGTTAATCAATAATGTAAGTAGTTGAATTAATATCAACGATTTCTTTTGCAGTTATTTCATAATAAATAATGCCTTACCATTCAAAGCTGCCAATTTGTTCAAAAAATAAAAAAACGAAAAAAACGAGATATTATTTAACGTGGGAGTTTTATAATGAATGAAAAATGGTAGCATGTTCATATTATTCGTTAAATGATATTTATATATTGAAGACGATTATAATAGTATATATTAAAGGAAAACATAATTCCAGATCGAGAAACAAAAGCGAAGCGAAGGATCTGGTGAACTAATCTGAAATTGATCGAGGAGTTTAAATAGGAAAAATTTTTTTTTTGATTATTAACCATGTGCTATATTTTGAGTAGTAATATTTTTTTATGTGGTGTGGTTTTATATCTATAATAAGTAAAAAAAGAAAAAAACCAAAATTAAACAAATCAACAATCGATGAAAGTTGTTAACGAAAGTTGGACACACTAAATAAACATGGCACTTGCAATTATTAATTTTGAAAATACTATGTAACGTTGTATGGGTAAATTAGGTTTATTTTATTTACAATTAAGGATAATTCTTTTTTGTTTTAAATTTAGTTCCAATGTATCAAAGACAAATTTTTGAATTATTTATAAATGCCGAATAAATCATGACATTATCAAGATGGGATGATTCTATATTGTTGACATGTCAATACACAAGAAACAATATTATAGCCGATTTTATTTATTGCAAAGTGGAATTTTTGATCTAGCTAAATTTCTTCTCTGGCGTTATACAAATTTCGATCGCTAGACAAAAGAAGATCAGAATGCAAAATGATGGATGTATGTATGTATGAATGAATGAACGGCGGGTGGATAGTTGCGATAAGTGCGTAATGAGTTTGGCAGAGGAGACAATTAATGTAGTTCATTTAATATTAATATTAATGCAATGTTATTAATCGCTAATTAATAATGTATTAAATGCAGTGGACATTAAATTTCTCTTTTTGGAGAGGTTTTCTGTCTCATCTTCCGCCAATTATTATTTATTAATCTTACACCCTTCTTCCATTGAACCCTAAATTCAAAGAAAAAAATTTTCTTCACTCGTTACACAAATATAGGGTTTTTTTGGAACATGAAAATCTTTACCCAAATTCGATTATAAAATGATTATTATAAAAATCTTAAAAATCTTTCATTCGCATTCGCAGATAATGTTGTCTCGATTAATTAATTTTTAAAAAACATAACTTTATTCAAAGTTAAAATGACAAATTGTTTACATAATCAAAAAAAACATTCTTTATTTGAATAATTTAATATAATAATTGGATTTGTTAATGTATATAGTAATTGGGATTTGTTAATGTATTAATTCGTAGTATTTACAAGTTAAAAACAAATGTTGGTGAAAGTGTTTGCAATAATAATAATGCAGAATTACTAATTGCTATAGTAATATAATTAATTTGTTTATTTATTAATTCGTCGCATTAAGCATGCGCACGCACGCACATAAATTTTGACATTTATATTTTTCCACCTTTCCGTTCTCTCATCTAATTAATAATGGCTAATTTCTTCAACAATAGATCACGTTTTCTATTTTCATTCTCATTGTTTATCGGCCTCCGGTTGGTCGTCTAGTGAAAATTAGAAATTGGCATTTTCATTTAATCTATTACATAATAATATGCATGATATGTAATAAACCATATTAATATGCTATCTATATTTATAAATAAATCTAGTGTGTAATGAATTACCTTCCTGGTTAATTTTGGAGTTAAGACTATTATTATGTGTAACTTGCCATCAATTTTTGGTTTAGCAGTCGTATGCACATGTTACCATATGGGTTTGATTTTTACACATTATATCAAGATCTACTGAACATATTACCATAATGGAGATCCCACTAAGAGAAAATAATTTTGAATTTCACATTTTTTCTCAAAACATGATTTTCAGAGTTGTATTGAAAAGGCGTCATTAATATGTTTTGCTTGAATTGGAATCGAATTTCAATCAAAATAGTCAATCAATAAAAGGGACACCAAATATTTAGTTGGCACGTTGCCCTAAAAAAAATATTGCACAGAAAACACATATAGAATATCTACGGCTGTAAAAGAGCGCGGAAAACATATGGAATGCATATTTTTCGTGTGATTTCTGTAAATTCCTTATACTATCCGTATAAAAAACATACGAAGACTCGCTCTTTTACAGGAGGATTCCGTGAAATAAAAATTTTTTATTGGTGGACATAACGCCGCAAAATAATTATGTGGTACAAGGCGAGAAAATTGCCGAACGCCACAATAGTAACACAGTAAGACAATGCATATCCTTTTGTTGGGTTATTGCCTTTTTCCTTTTACCTTATTATATGTTGTCTATCTTGGCAAGCAAGTAATTTCGGATGTAATTTCGGTAACTAATAAAGATTAATAGGGACAATTTCGGCTAACATGTTTGATATATATTTTTTAGTCTATTTTTTAAAGGGCATAAGATCCATTTACAAACATGATATGTAAATTCTGTCATAAATATAGATTTTATTTATTATAATCAGTTAATTATTATCAATTAGACAGTTAAACTATAATTTTATTTTATTTATTGCTCTTGTGAAGAAGTTTTTTTTAGCGAATTTTGGTCTTTTTAAATTTCTATTGAATAAATTTATAAATTGTTTACTCGGGTATTATGTTATTAAAATTTGCCTATTTTTATTAAAAAAAAGGGAATTTAATTTTTGCGCCTTGTGTGTAGCCATTAAAAAAAATTTTACTAATTGATATTATATTACCCAAAATTTTTATATCAGTTTTCATTGGACATAAAAAAATTTTTACCCTTAAAAGTCTTGGACCTTTTAACGCATCACTTTTTCTATATGTTTTCTACCCTTGGTTTGCTTGGGACATCAATTAGAAATTCCGGGGTCCTAAAAAATTTTATCGGAGTAGCCAAAGAATAGGTAATCCCGAGTATTTTCCTTCCATGCAATTACTCTAGTAGCTTTCAAATTTTTACATAGCAGAAAATCTTTATCTTCGCATACCGAAAAAAACTAAAAGAATTTAAGACCAAAGAGCAGGAAATATCAAGAGGTTTTGGATTCTATTAAAAATTAATTAATTACTATTATATACATGTTTGATGCTTGTTGCTGATGAAGTTTTAATACTGAGGTTTGTATGATGTTATCATACAAACATAAATTGTATTTTGCTTTACGTTTATATCTATATTTCTTCTCTTTATCATTCAAACTTGCACAAAAACCTTACCGGATGGTATATCTTCCAACACTAATGAACGAAGAAGCAATAACTGGAGTTGTGATGCACAAGAAAAAATTGAAATGTTTTTACATCTTTAATACTATCCATTACGTTAATATCAATATAGTCTCTGATCATTGATTTTAGAGTGGAAGTGTCCGCCTGTGTTCTGATACGCCAAGGCAAAAATCGTTCAATGCAAATTAGCACTTTTAATAAAGCACAAGGAGAAGCGTTGAAATTTGATTCCTTTTAATCATGACATTTTGTAGGAAACATATTTTGCTTCAGGTAAAAAATTTTAATATTCAAGGAATTAGCAAAGAAAAATGTGCAAAAAGAATGGAGGAAATACAAAATTTGCTTAAGAATAATATAATCAAAGGTGAAATAAATCTAACTGTATGTGATAATAGAATTTAATACATTAGTGAAAGCCTATATAGAGTAGTTTGTCTTTGTCATTATTTCGTTAACAATTTTTTCTTTCTATATTTATAAACATAGTAATAGGAATAAATTATATAATGGCTTCTTTAATTCGGAAGAACTGTTGGAATAATTTTAATTGGAATATTCAAGGGCACCAGTGATCACATCAATATCCTTGCATCACCATTATCGTCATCACCCTCAATTGTTAAAAATAAAAGAGATTTGAATAGAACAATGACTTTGAATAATGCAATAGACATTGTAAATCAATAACATTCCGCAAAAGATGAATTTTGAAGTTATGATTTCCTCCATATTATGTAACAATTTTATTAGATTAACTGTTGTAAGATTTTTTTTCGCTTATAATGGCTTATTTGGCTAATAAATCTAATGTCTCCCGGCACTGGTAAAAATGATTAAAGGTTAAATTTATTAAAAAATACAGTTTTGGTTAATGCAACCAAACTTTGATAAACTATACATCTCATCTTAATTAAATAGATTTTTATCAGTGTGGTAACTCTTTTTTTTGTTAATAGTAATAAGTTTACAGAATAAAGTGTCTAAAACCTAATATAAATTGATTTAAAAACACCCAACGCATATACACCCAATTTAAAAAACTTGTTGATATCTATAATCCATAATTCAAGAATTTCACTTGATTTCACACTTTTTTTAACAGAGTAAAAAATTAATGCTAGACAAAATTTCATTGGTTTGGAAAAAAAGTTTAAATTTTCATCCAAAAAATTAAAGTTTGGTGGTTGATTTTTTTTTCGCCAGCCAGCCGGATATCATGTTTATCAGCCTGTTGAATTGTAACATTTATTACGAATAATATCATACATGCATCATTATTATTACTTGCAGGACATTATCAAGTGACAGTAACATGATAACAATGATTAGTGCACATTTTCAAATCGTACGAAATCTGAACCAAGAAAGCTGCTGACATATTAGTTTATTCTATAATGGTTTTTTTTTGAAGATTTCTTCCATCTACTGTACAACTTGATTTAAAGGCAAGGGTCGCATCAAAGTGCTGCCTACAAAAGTCAATTATTACCACTTGGAAGATTGTATTGGAAAAATTCGACAAATAATTTAAAACAGAAAAAGTTAAAGCATACAACGCAAACAGTATATCAAAATTTTACTAGAATCAATTAGAATATTATAAACAATTTCCATGAATCCTTTTTAAGATTATCTTCATCTTTGCGCCATCAGACTCATATCAAAGTAACTTTTATTGAAATTGTGCTCAAACACGAGATTTCTTGAGTAAAATGATCAAGTGTTTACGAAGACTAAAAATGCAAACTTGCATTTTTGTACTCCAAATTCAGGCTATTATATCTACTTTTAAGATCTTCTAATTTTAGTTTGAGAAAATATAGATTGTGGTAACTGTCGTTCATTTTCACATGCTTCAAAAAATCTCTTATTATGGAATTATCAATCTCGCATATCCTAATCCCGCAAAAGGAATGAACTTGAATATCCAATGGCTTTTTTCATCTGAAGCATGCCCGATCACAAAGAAATTTCAGGGATCAAATTTCCTAAATACCACGCTTGTACTAACTAATATAATGTGATGTCATTCAATAGTGCAAACTGAATAATTGATCCACACACCAGATAAAGGATTGTCTTTTTCTTGTTTTTACTTCTTAAATGATATAAAACTTTAGATATGAAATTAATCTATATAAAATATACAAGAATTACAGCACTCGCTATCAGAAATAAAAAAAAGAACAAAGTGAGAAAATTACTCTTCGTGTTTTTAAATTAGCTGACACTCAAATGCTTGAAGAACGCCCAAGAGAAAATTACTTGTAAAATTTATCAAGAAGAAAGAAAAATAATAAACACTAGAGAAATATTATGGGATGGGATTTTATTGGGAAAAGCAAAACAGGCAAATTATTTTTAGCAATAACATTAAATTAGTGAGATCAGCCGTTGAAAAACCTGGATAAGCCAGCTAAGAACTTATATGAATTACCAAAAATCAATTATTTTTATTGTTTGTAATTCCAAAAGTTTTGAATTTTCTTTTAAAAAAAAGAATATCATGAATACTATTCTTACTAAGTCTTTTCTTTGTAAATACATTTCCAGAAACCTCTCGGGTAGTGCTGATCTTGCCAGTAAAATCCTTGCTTGCGTGGTAAAACCACCTTTTTTTTGATTCCATCAAACAAGTGGATCTTCTTCCAATAAAACTTTTTGTAATGTTAAGTCTCTGTTTTTATTTTGTTGTACATGATTTTTAGCACTTAATATTAAGCAATTGAAAAAACGTTGGCTAATGAAATTGTTTAATTGTTTGATATCAAAATGACTTATTTACCTTTTATTTGATTATCATCAAAAAACGATGATAATGTTGACTTCCGAAAAGTGCCAAAAGGATTTTACAAAAAAAGGTAAATCAGCCGGCTAAGTCGTTTAAAAATTCCTCGACCGGCTAAGTCCAATCAAATCAGCTTAGCTGGCTAAGCTGTTAAATCCCTTGGCCAGCTGACATTACCACATCAACTTTTTCTTCTTTATGCATGTTTTGATAGGGTGTATGATTTACAAACATATAAAGCTCCTAACGAGATTCGGGTTGATTTCGGGTTAATAAAAAAATTTTGTGATTTAGATAATATTAAGTTTTATTTACCTAAATTTTATTAATTAAATATAAAAGGCAAAACAGTTATATTGGTTTAAAAGCTGCAATTGGTGCTATGCGTGACGCAAACACAATTCACGATGCAAGAGATGTAAGACACAATTCGTGATGCAAGACGTGATTTATGATGCAAGACGTAACTCAAGGCAATTCGTGACGCAATACATAATTAAAGACACAGGGCTAGTGATGATGATCGGAACCAATCCATAGTTTAGGCCTAATTTTACGGCAAAGTTGGCGAAACCTAAACTGTGGGCGAAAACCAAGCGGTCAATTAAACTTTATGTTTAATTTCCGACCACAAAAGTGTTTTATTGATTTGTTTTATTATTACAAAACGAATTAGGTCAAAAAGTGACATTATTTTTATGTAAATCATAATCGTTCTTAATATTAATAAATATATACAGTCAGACCTCCATAAATGCACACTATGTCTTGGTCCCAACCTTGGGACTTAGGGATAAATACACACCCTCCATACTCTGCACTGCGCGTATTTTTTCAGTCCACATATATGAAAACTCTCCACAAATGCATCTCACGCGACTAATGTATGAAAATACATCAGCAAATATTTTGACTTGATTGGATGTGATCCAATTGAATTTCATGACTTTGTGTCACTAAATGAGCTTTTTGATAAAATGCAAGTTGATGAATTTTTGAATATCCCTGAAGAAAATATTGTCTGTGAGATTCCAGAAGGTGATAAAAATCATCAAAGAACTTGCAGAAATAAAATAAATGTACCTGCTGAAAATTTTGAGAAGATGACAATAAGTCTTGAGGAAGCATTAAAGGTCTTGAAACTGTACATGCATTTTTATTACAGCAAGATAATGCTAGCAAACAAATAAAATTGGTTAATAAAATTGAAAGATACGTATATCAATGTAAAAAAAGTAAATTCATCTACAATGAATAGTTATTTTAGTATTACTGATTTAAAATATTGTGCATCACATGCAACCAATGAAATCGCTCCTCTTCATAAATGAACATTGTCCCCGTCCCAAGGGAGGTTCAATTGCCAAATGGAGTCTGTGTAGTATTTTTGATGATAATTTAGAATCACCTGATTTTGTAAATTCATTTGATTAAATGTAAACAATATGATTGGTTCAGAAAATGACCATGTCATTTAAAATCGATATTCTGTAGAACCATGTGCTGCTGCTGCACCTCTAGCTCCAGCTATAACATAAAGTGTGTCATTATTAGCTCCTCCTAATGCTAATTATGTGTTAACAAATCGAGGTATTACTGATTTTGGAGCAATTAGTTTTATTGGTAATGTTTGATTAAGTGAAAATGATGTGGATAAATCTAGGTAACTTGTTCGGTTTGTAAGTCCTGAACTGTCAGAATATCCTCCAAAATAATAAAGTTTATCATTTAACACTATTGAACTTTGATCACATATATATAATAATTGACCAGAAACAAAAAAATTGAAACTATCTAATAAAAATAGATTAAAAATTATTATTAATAAATTTAATGATTTTAAATAGTTATGATGATGTTTCATTAAATTATCCATTTTTTTTTTAAAAAAAATTGTATATTAAAATAAACCTTCAGAATTTCAAAATATATATAACAATATAAACAATAATTATATTTGTAATCTATATGGTTGCTAGTACTATCTAGGATTTGAGAAAAGGAAAGAAAAATGTCAGATACTACTATTTATTATTGTTATCACAGTATTCAAGGATTAAGGAAAAATAGATTGACAAAGAAAAAAATTTTTATTGGATTGGGCGGTGCGCACATTAATATCTTATTTTATTCGAATTATTATTAATTTATTCGAATTCGTTCCAATAAACTTTCAATGTAATTAGAACACTCAAATTCATAACGAATAAAACGAATATTTGAATGAACCTTATTCGAATGAAACCCTATTACTATATAGAAATAAAATTAATTCGTAGTACGTGCTGAGTGAACAGATACACATATCACGTGATGTTACTAAAGTTGATAGTGTAACACATATTTATTGTAACATCACAAATCATTCACAAAATAAAATTTCCAATTATATATATTAATTAAGAATTATAATAATGATATCAAATTTAGAAATTAGTTCATTAATAATGAAGAAAAAATAATAATATATAAATAAAAATTCAAATAATTTTTTAAATTAATTTTTTTAAAATTAAGCGCGTGCTTACTATACAAATAAAATATGTCATTAAATTGTGAAAATAAACATTATGATTATTTAGTAATTGGTGGTGGTAGTGGTGGATTAGCTTCAGCAAAACGTGTTGGTTTGTATGGTGCTAAAGTTGGATTGATCGAATCAAGTGGTCGACTTGGTGGTACTTGTGTTAATGTAGGATGTGTACCAAAGAAAATTATGTTTAACACAGGTAGAAAAAAACTTTTTTGTTTTCATATTATATAGTTCTCAAAGTTTTTAATTTTATATATATCATATATTCCTAAAAAAAGCGAGTGTCTCGGAAACGCTTGAAGATGCGTCTCATTACGGATTTAATATAAAAGAAATTTCAAAATTTGATTGGCCATCCATAAAACATAAACGTGATGAGTACATAAAACGACTTAACAAAATTTACGAAAATAATATGAAAAAAGCAAATGTTGAATTGATCGAGGGTCACGCAAGTTTTGTTAGTAAAAATGTCGTAAAAGTTAAGCAAGAAAACGGCGAATGCGAAACTATTCATGCCGATCACATTTTAATTGCTACAGGTAAATAAATACTTTTGATATTTTTTTTTTTTAAAAAAATTATTAATATTTTTTGCTCGCATTCAAAACACATCCACGTCCATAGGTGGTCGTCCAATTATTCCAAATATTCCTGGCAATGAACTTGCAATTGACAGTGATGGTTTTTTTGCTCTCAAAGAACAACCAAAATCCGTAGCTGTTATTGGTACTGGGTAAATATTAATCAACGATAATTGATAATAAATTATTATTATGGCTGCTAACTATTTTTTTTTTTTTTTATCATCAAAAAATAATAATAGGTATATTGGTGTTGAATTGGCAGGAATTTTTAATACCTTAGGGACAAAAACAACTCTTTTCAGCCGTTCAGGCGAAATTCTTCGTAGTTTCGATCCAATTATCAAAAAAGTTTTATATAACGATCTTCAAAAAGAAGGAATAAGAATCTTAACAAATGCCAAAGGTAAATAAAAAATATTACAAATTTTAATTAGTTAATCTAATATTTCCTCTTCTATTTCATTTCGTTGCAAAAAAGTTTGTAGCCTTTCACGTCACTGTGAATCTGATCCAATAACAGTAGAGTTTAGCTCGAATGAAACTCAAGATAAAAAAGAACAATTTGACGTGGTTTTATACGCAATTGGTAGAAGACCAAATAGTGACGGTTTGAATTTGGAAGAAATTGGTGTGAAATTGAATAGTCATGGATATATTATGGTTGATGAATTTCAAAATACTGACGCTGGAAATGTTTATGCACTTGGAGATGTTTGTGGTGTTGCTCAATTAACTCCTGGTAAAATTGAAAAATAAATTATAAATAGATATATTACTTAATTAATGATAGTAGTAATGATAATAACGATAACAATGATGATTTTGTTTAATTGATTAGTTGCAATTGCAGCTGGACGTCATTTAGCAGATCGTTTATTTGGTCCTTCACAATTCAAAAATTCAAAACTTGATTATGAAAATATTCCAACAATTGTATTTCATGGTACTTGTGGAACTGTCGGATTGACTGAACCACAAGCAAAACAGAAATATGGCGAAGAAAATATTAAAGTTTATACTTCGGAATTTACAAATTTATATTATGCAATGACTGAAAAAAGCACGTGAAAATTATTATTACTTTTTTTTCGTATTAAATGTATAAATACAGTATATATATCTAATGTATGCAAAAAAAAAAATAATAATAATAGAACTAAAAACAGCGTATAAACTGGTAACAGTCGGTGAAGAACAAAAGGTTGTAGGGCTTCATTTAATAGGAAGAGATTCTGCTGAGATAGTAAGCCAATAATTATTATAAATTTCATTAATTAAATTATTTGCATTAAGTTAAATAATTATAATTGTTTTTGAAATAGTTACAAGGATTTGCTGTAGCAGTTAAAATGGGCGCAACAAAAGCAGATTTTGATAATACAGTTGCATTGCATCCTACAGCAGCCGAAGAATTGGTATGTATATAACAAAAAAAAAATAACTTTTAATTAAATTGTTACAATTAAATTAATTAGATTTTTTCCTCGGAAAATAATAGGTAACGATGACATAAAACTTAATTTTTTTTACATACATACATACATATATATTAAATAAATCTTTATCCATATCGCAACGTAGTGCTTAAGTGATGAAATTGCTTCAAAAGTGTTTCGTCTAATGCAATTCTTGCTAAAATCTTTTTTTTTAATTGTCAAGTGTCAATGCATATTAGTAATTTTGATTATTGATGACTTTTCGCCATTATTAAATCAGTATTTAAAAAATAGATGAATTGTTGTAACTAGCTCTTGATAATAGTAATATTGAAAAATGGTAGTGATGAGGTAAATTGAATAACATTTGAAACGTAATCATGGAAAACATTGCCATACCTCAATATCACATACCAGATCCCAGATATTAGTATTAGAGACCTGTTCAATTTATCCTATTATTGGAATATATTTCTGTTATTTATTAAAACTGATATTTATTTATTCTCATTAGTCCTTGAACGTTCTGAACATCAAGGTGTATTGTTACATCTGACGTTTTTGCGGTGAAATGACGTTCACAATTTCCGAGACGAGCGTTTCTCGTAATTAACAGTTAATGGAACAGGCAATTTCAACACATGGCAACTTGTGAAATTCTGAAAATAACTAGATTCATCTTTTTTACTTATACTACAAAGGTTTCTGGAACTTGCTATTGTGGTCAATTTTCAAATTCTTTTAAAGTTTTTAAACCAACGATGGTTTTATTTATATACGGTTAAACTTCAGTATACTGTATTATTTGATATGAAGATTGATCTTTACTTAATAAGCAAATTTGATTGGGACAATAAAATTTTTGTTATGTCACTTTATTCAATTATTTTTGATGATATATGTCCCTATACTTTTGTCCAGGAGGGACCTTACCACTGTTGAAAATTCGGCACGAATTGAAACGGATTATATTTTTTTATAGCAATAAAGTGATCAATATTCCCAATCACCTGACTTTGAAACGTTTTATGGCCACCAAAAAGCTTATTTCTGGCTTTATAAAATAAGAAGCTTAAAGTCCTGTTTTATATATTACTAAAGTAATACAGAAGTGACAAAATTTATATGTATAAATTGAGGAAAAATGAATTCTGATCAAGATTTATGGTATGTTAACAAGGCCGCGGAAAGTTTTTAGATTAGATGGTAATGTTTTATTTATTATAATGTAAGTTTATTAATGCACATTTATTATCAATTAAAATCTACGTTCTAAAACAATTACAGCCAATTTTGAATTGCACGAGAAATATTCGATTCCTCAAGTGTTTTGCTTGATATTTTGCTCTTGCCTGAAGTATCACTTTCATTCAAGATATAGTCCATATTGGATTTGAATGAGTGAAGTGTTCAATTTCAATGTTGGGTATGATGCGATATTAAATCCTAACCCAACTAACTTTCTTTCCTCCAAAATCTTTTTCCTTATATATATTTTAATTTCCTGTTAATGCGGGGGGCACAGCCTTTTGTAGATTTAGAACGCGTTGCCATGTTACGTTATCAGAAACATTTTGCCATGCAATACAATGTTAATTATGTAATAAAAAATAAATGTATAAATACAAATAATCAAATAATTAATAAAGATAAGAAAGTTCTGTTCTAGATCCCGTGACCACAATATTTTCAATTATTGTCAAAGCATTGAACTAAATTTCATGATATCTTGACATACCAAATCCAAATGCGACGGCAGTTTTAAATTGATTAAAAAATTATATAGAAAGACAACAATTGGTCGTGTATCACGTTGTAGATGTTCTAAAAAGAAAATATACGCCTTAAGATGATATATGGCATTCAAAACCTTCAAAATTCTGAAACTGTAAAATCTCAGTAGGTTAGAAATGGTTACTTTAAGCTGTTGAAAACTAGGAGAACAGAAAATTTCAACATCATAAAAGATATTAAAACCTATTATTTCCATTTTAAACGTTTTGTAACGATATTCCTCCATTTCTAAAAGATGTATTCAAAAAGACATTACCAAGCATAGGAAATCAAGCAGTTGTGGCGTTGAGCAATTTTCAACACTTTGTACCACCAAATTACTGTGGCGTTATGCTGGTTTTGTCGCAGCATGCCCATATTAATATTAATATTATTAATATTGCTCATTCATTGAACTTGATTAATAATAAATAATGACTTTATATTGATTGATACTTGCTGATAATAAGGGCCGTTGAAGAAAATTTCAATAAAAAAATTACAAAATAGTTTTCAAGCCACTCGCTATTTTCATATGATTCAAAAAAAATTTTTTTTTTTACAATACGATCAAATTTTTTTTTGTGTAGTGTAAATAAAAAATGACTGAAGAGTCTAAAATTAATTTTGAAACTGTTGTTGACGGTAGTGGTATCAATACTGAAAATAATGACGGTGGTAGCAGTAACAACAACAACAACAACAATAATAATAATGTAGAAGAGGCTCTTAATATTAATAACAGTGATGGTGGTAAAGCAAAGAAAAGTCGTTCTGTAAGTGATGCGGAGAGAAGACGTCGCCGTCAACAAAGGATTTTAGGAGAGGCAGGAAATAGATTATCAAAAATTAATTATACACATACCTCACTAGGCGGAGAGGCTGCTGGTAGTGGTGGTGGTCATTCAACGCGAACTACACCTCGGACCAGTAGAAGATCTTCTCCTCTACCTAGTGGAAGATCCTCACCAACCAAAGAAGATGTATTTGATAGTCCTTTTACACGTTCTAGAAGAAATACTGGTAATTTTGAAGGGGGCGGTGTTAGTGATAGTAATAATTATTTTAACCCTTTACAATCAACACTATCATCATCACCAGATAATATTAATTTATCATCATTTTCTACAGACAATAATAATTCATCACCAGCACCACATATAAGAGTTAGTGAGGATAATACAGAATCAGAGTTTTCCGCAATTTCAAAACGATTAAATTCCGTTTTAGAAAGTGAAGAACAATTAGCGTATGACAATCAAGAAAATAATGAATTTTATAAAAGCATGATAGGAAATAGTATATATCAAGGAAAAAATAGTAGTACTGCATCATTAGAATCATCATTTGGTGGTGGCGGTAGTGAATATCAATATTCGCCACAGCATCAACAATTTCCAGAACAATTGGAACAAATGCCGTTACCTTTTCCACCATTCCTTAATCCTGATATGAAAATTTTTCCTTTTGTTGGTGGTGGTAGTGATATAAATACTGGTGGTAGTAGTGGCGGTGGTGGTAATAATAGCAGTAGTATTCAATTATTGATAAGATCAAGAATATGGCAATTAATTCATTTTGTGTCGATGATTTTCCTGGGAATTTATTTCATATCTAGTGAATTAACAAGATCACAAGGTGGTTGGACTAGATTTTATTATTTAAATTATGAAAAACCTGGCGAAATATTAGACATAAATCAAATTCCAAGTATGCCGTTATTTTGGTATTTTATAACAGCTGAATTAATATTGCAATCCACAAGATTATTATTACAAAGGGTAAAAAAATTACTATCTATTAATATATGAAATATTTTTATTACCGCTGCTACACCATTAGTAATTCACATTGATTATTTCTCTTCATTTATTATGTTTAGGATCAACCATTACAAGGTTCGACATTAGGAAATTTAGCAGCCAATTTACCTGAACCATTTCCAGACATAATTAAAATCCTATTAAAGCATAGATTAATATGGAATAGTTTATGGGAAGATATTTGTGTATTAATATTTATTGTAGGACTTGTAATAGCTATTTCTCCTATATTGTCATATTTTGATTAATAACCTTTCCTTTTTTTTTAATTATTTAATTATTTAAATATTTTATTATATTTGCTTTATTTAATTAATTCTAAATAAATAAAATTAAGAAAAAAAGGAAAAAAGAAAAAATTACTGCTGATAGTTTATGTAACCACCCAATTCGTTTTCCAATTGCTCATCTACTTCCATATTTTCTGGTTTTATAATTCCGTGTTGACTAGCAGCATATGAATCATAATTGTTTTGCTGCTGCTGTTGCTGCCGTTGACGTGGTTGCATTATTGAATCACGTTCATGGGCTGATAGACTATCACAATAAAAAAGAAAGTGACGAAGAAAGGTTGGAGTATTTGTGTATGTAAGAGTAAAGAAAATTTATAAAGCGCAAGTATTGGTGTGTGAAGTGAGCAAAAATTTATAAATTCACAGGTAACAAAATGCAATTATGAAAAATAAATATTCACCTTGGTTTTCGGCCTAATTGCGCACCATTAACAGTTAATACTGCTTGTTTAGATTTTCTAAAAGACACTACCTCTTGAACAATCATTCCTAAATTATTTATAATATGTGTTAATATACATTAACAATTTCACATGATTATTTTAATGATCACTTACCCCTCATTTCTTCTAATGAATTAACAGTTTCAAAAGAAAAATCAAATAATTTTTCATGTGATGGCTATTAAACAAAATATAAATATAAAATTACACTTGTATTATCATTTTTATTATTATTAAAAAGGTGAATATTTTCGTTTTAAAAATAACCTCATCTTCTTCATCGTGATAAGCAGCCAAATATGGATGTGCAAGGGCTTGTTCAACTGTGATTCTTATTGAAGGATCAAACTTTAAAAGTTTTTCTAGCAGATCAAGTGCTTTTGACGAAATAATGATATCGTATTTATTAATTAATAATTAATTATCATGATGAATGAATCGATATTTTTACCTAAAGGATTTGCTCTTGCGTAAAGTTGTGAAAAAGGAATTTTTGGCGTTCTTTGAAGACTACGAATGTATATTTGAGCCTTTAATTCAAAAAAAAAAAATTTTTTTGTGATGATAAGTAACAATTTTTGGAAAAAAAAAAAAGTTCAACTAAATTAAATAATCAGCGACCGACATCAACCAACAACTAACCCTTTCACTTCCAACTCTTCTTAAAGTTTCTTCATCAGGTGTACCCAAAATACTTAGAATTTGGTTAAGTTGATCAACATAATCACGTCCTTTAAATAAAGCTTTTCCTCCAAGCATTTCTGCAAAAATGCATCCTACTGACCACATATCAACTAACAACAATATCAATTATCAATAGCATATTTATTATTATCTTTCTCTGATTGCAATAGATATAAACAAAAAAGATTATATGAAACTTACTGGCTTTAGTATAATTTTGAAAACTTAACATGATTTCAGGAGCTCTATACCAACGTGTTGCAACATATTCAGTCATAAACCCTGCATCATGATCTGGTGAATCTGAAAATCCACGAGCAAGACCAAAATCACAAATCTTTTGTATATATGTGTATGTCAGCACTAATCTTTTATGTTTTAATAATTTTATAGATTTAATTATCTTACCTTGAGTTCACAATCAGCATTTACTAGTAAATTACCTTTTAAAATTAAAAAGAAAATTAAATTTTTTTAAAAAGTTGAGAATGCATGAATGTATTTGTTTCACTACTACTATCAGTATAATATATAAACCAACCAGGTTTTAAATCTCTGTGTAGCACATTTGCAGAATGAATATATTTTAATCCTCTGCAGATTTGATATACAAAATATTGAAAATGTGCATCAGTGAGCGGTTGTTCTGAACGAATGATTTGATGAAGATCGGCTTCCATAAGTTCTTGAAACAAATAACTGTAATAATTAATGAATTGATAAATGAATGATGAAACAGGCGGATATATATTTAAAATATATATTTGTAACATAAACGATTTGGTCAGATGCTGTACTTTACATTTCATTGAAATCATTGAAATCTGTTATATCCATATCTAAGATTGATGTAATCTAATAAATATTATTACATTTATGTTTCACCATTAATAAAAAATAAGCAATACCATTTTTTTTTTTTTTTAGTTTAAAAAAATTTAATAATACCAACATTTTCATGTCCATTGAAATGTTTTAATAACTTTACTTCTCGTAAAGCACGTTTAGCTAAAATATTTTTATCAAAAACTTTTGTTACTTTCTTGATGGCAACACTTTCTTTTGTTTCAGTATTTTTAGCTGCACTATTAATTATATAAATATGAAGGAGTATTACATTAAAAGGAATAATAATAATAATAATAATAATAATAATAATAATAATAGCAATAAAAGGTTACCATACAACACCATAGGCACCTTGGCCCAACTCTCGAATAAACTCATATTTCTTGTCTACAAGAAAATTATGATTAAGTACAGGAAATGCATGGTATGGCATTTTTTAAAAAATTAGACTTTTTTTTTATCTCCTATTTATTTGATTCATTTTTAACAGTATATCTTTTGTTATTTATATTACGTTTCGTGTCACATCAAGTCGAAATCGAAATTTCTTTTTTTTTGAAACACACACACACTAATTAATTAATATCTAACATCTAATATTAATATACAGAATGGAAGTTATTAAGCACGTGACATAAAGTGCCATCTATAATATGGTATAAACCATCTGCTTGATCTCGAAGATAAAGAGAAAGAGATTATAACTCGTTCAAATTTTTTCTTTTATTGAAACTTTGGTTGATCGCGAAAAATTCACTAATACAAATTTGATAATTATCTGCAGGATTCTAATGTGTGACGTAACACCCGTGGATTTATTGAAGCTGTAGCACAGTTATGCAATTGTGGTTAAGGTAGAGGTAGTCATGTGATTTATTTAATGCCAAGAACTCACTGGATCAAGGTTTTATTGATTTATATTTATTCCCATTGAGCTCACAAGGTAAATGGTATCAAGCCCTTTGCAACAGCAATCCCAAATATATATATTATTAAAGCATTTCAATAAGACTTGCTGGTTCGTGATAATTATAATTTAGAAATATTGAATGAACATGCTAATCTAACAACTACTGGATTTTCATACAGTAACTATTATCAGTTATATACAATTGAAGGGTGTATAGTAGGCATCAATAACCAAACTTACGTTCCTGGATATTCTATCATTACTTTAATTGGAAGGCCATATTTTCGTTTTACCATAAATAAAATTTGTCTTGGTACAATTATGGCGAGGGTAATGCTTTAACAAAAGTAGAATATTTATATTCAGGAACTGGTTTTTTTAATACTTTCAATGATTGTATTCGATCAAAAAGAAAGGGGAGAATTTCAACTCATGGTAGTCTTGGTTTTAATGTAAAAGAGAATAAGGATACCGGCTGCAACTTTTGATGATGGTTTCTACCACCTTTGCGTCATATAAAAATGATTGCAACCGCCTTTACGACCATTTTGTTTCCTTTTTTGGATTGCGACATGGAACACTAAAAGAGAACATCTTTGTGATAGGTACATCACCGACTTTTAAAATCAGAAACATTAGTTAATACATTGGAAAAAATCTAGAAATACAAACAGAAATACAAGATAATGAATTTGACAAAAAATCCAATTTATATAAAAGAAGGAATAATTGTTAGGAATGAGGGTATTAACATCACTCCAATAGAAACACAGGTGCTCTTGTCAAATACAAAGAAACATGTTGTTTACTTATCCAGGAAATAAAAAACTATAGGCGCGCTAGAGAGCAAGCATGAGTGAGAAGAATAGATATGATAATAATAATGAACAACAAATAAAAATTAAAGAATTAGCTACTCAGGTAATGAATACAATTGGGTTCTACAATAACGGTTGGTACTCACAGTTATGTTAGTGCACTCAATTGAAAATAAAAATGCGTTATTAACGATGATGTTAGTTTTTCAATGAGCATCATCATACAATGTGAAAGCTGTGGTAATTTTCAAGTGAGACACCTAAGGCAAGTATATCCGTTCTAGTAGCTGGTGAAAGTCTATTATCAGGAATAAATAGGCAACAATGTGAGACTTTTTTGGTACAGCATCTCATTAAACCATAAAATTATCTGCATCATATTGAAAACTAAGCACCATTATTTTCGCCGGGGACTGTATTACATGAAAGTAATATTTGTTATTACTATTTTTGTAGAGATGTTTCTTACATGCTGTTCTGGTGCAAAGAATTCAATCTTCTATATTCAGCTACGACATCCTTATCTACTGCTATCTTCAAGTGATTGAAAAGAGATCCAGCAAATCCCAAGAAGGAGCCCTGCTCATTATTTCCTTGAAGTTTATTTTCTCTCCGCTTACATTCTTGATAAATACAATTGAGGATTGGTATATGATATTTTTGTAAAAATAAAGAGATTTTTGTTTAAGAAAGAAAATGAATGGATCATTCAAACAAAAATCATCCAAAACTTAATTTTTTCTGCCACCACTACAAAATAAACAAAGCCACTCATATTTATAACAAAATGAGTTACAGATTAAGCATAAAATAAAATAATTAATAATAAATTGTAATAATGATAAACAGGTTATACATCACCTTTACTCTCTCGCTTGTTCTCCCTCTAGTTAACAAAAAATCAGCAAATCAAAAGTAAATGTGATTTCATTTAACTGAAAAAATTTTAAATGAATAATCTTTTTGTGATCTTGATTCTTTGCAAGTATTGAATCGTGAAATTTTCAATTATTATGGTCCGTTGTAAATTCCTTTTATGCAAATCTATAAAGCTCACTAGCAGTTGGTCATTTTAATCTACACAAAAATTAATATAAGCCAAAATCTGAAAGGTTGAGAAGATGATTTTCGTGATCAATGCAATAGACAGAGTCAGGGTTGGCAAATGTGCGGTCTATTAGTGGTCCATCGGGCCCATTAGTGTAATACTTTAACCATATTTAGTATTTTATTAATGGCAATGGACCAGTCAATTTGCCACCTTGGACAGAGTACATTCACGTTATCACAATAATTTATCACATGATTTAACTTATATGTAGATTCGATTGGCTAATTTGGTGCTCTAAACAAAATAAGTAATTTAGTCATGTGATTTTACAATGTTTACATATGGATTTCACCACAAAAAAAATATTTTGATTTCGAGGACTTTTTTTGATCAAAACGATATTAATGATATAATAGTAACAGTAGCAATCAATAGTAATAGTAATGGGCTATTTATTACGACAACCGAAGATATTTTTTCTGCATTAATATTAATTTAATGCTTTATTTATTTACTCTATTATGGTTATGTCTTCTTGGTTTATATAGGAAGTAGATAAGTAGGCTCAAAAAACAAACCAAAGTAAAGAAGACATATATTAAAATTTACTTGGAATTCCTTAAGCACAAAGGTTGATTTGGAAGCTGGCTCATTTAATATGATGATGCAATCAAATTTCAGGAGAGCTCTGATTTTTGTGAAATATTCTTATTGAAATGTTTCTATTGAATTTGCATTATTGGAATAGAGACTATTAAAGTCTCTTTTGTCTGAAGACCTACTGGTACATACAGATCTCATAACTATGGAGTTTTCTTCAGAGATGGGGGTAAAGACTTGTGTGTGCCAATAGAAGGAAAATTTTATTAAATCTGACACCTATGATCAATATCAGATTTATTATATTAGAAATAATTTTTAAGGAAATCTATAACAATTGGGAAGCGTGCCACACACACGCACACAAAAAAAATGGGAACCAAGTAGAGAGACTCAACTACTCACGCCACCTTGAAGAATAAAGAATAGAAGATTACCGTCAATGTGTTGAAAATACTCACGAGAGATTGCTGAACAAAATGAAAAGCTAAATGGTTAATTCCGACTTCAACAGTTAAAATTCAACAAAATATCAATGGGTTTATTATCCAACTCTTCCGAATTTTCTCTTGTCAAGATATTGTGTGTCCTTTTCCTTAAAAATTTATTTCTGCATGGTTTTAGTATTATCATTACTTGGGCGATGCAATTATTTGTTATAGCAGTATCATCAAATGCATTGTATAGTCGTCATAAATATTGTAATAAGCATGATACAATTGTGGGGCAAGGATTAAATAACAACTAAAAAGATAAGTAATATTTTATTTATTTTGATTCAATTAAGCGAAAAATACATAATGATTTAGTTTATATTAAATATTACTATCATTACTATTGTTAATATTAGTATCTTCTTCATCTTCTATATCATCCCCTTATTCATTTTTTCTCTATTGATTTTCTATTGTTTTCTGATAGAAGTGGAGACAACAAATTATGTGGTGGAGAAGGAAAGGAAGTTGCAGTTTTCAATTTCAACTCGGACAATTGTTCAAATTCCTCCCACAATTTTTAAGTTTCCCTTGGGTGTTTTCGATCACCACTTGGTTTACACGGTTTATATTTCAATCAACAGTTCACAAAAATTCACTTATAAAGTTAAGTATTTAATTGTTTTATAATATTGATTTTGATTTTGGATTTGTTTTTACAATTGTAGAATAGTAAATAAGAAATATGGCTACGATTTTTTATTATTTGAATTTTGAATATTTATGTAAAATTTTCTTTTTTATACATAAATGAATAGAAATGCTTTACGATCACCTTCAATTTCTCATGAAATTTTAATATTGGTAGTCTTATTGAGAGCTGTTTATCAAATTATTCATGCATAATGGAAGTTCTCTATCACATTTGTCACAATGTAACGATCTTGAAGTTATGCTACGACAAAAAATCTATTTACATAATAATATTAAAATATAGTTTTACTTTTGCCATCCAGCAGCAGTCACCAATACCCATAAACTTTTACTAGAAGCGAGACAATTTAAATGGTAATTTTCATTCCATCAAAAAAAGATTTTTTTTCTATTAAAGTTATTAAAATTATCAAGTAAACTTTATTTTTAGGTGTTAAATTATTGTTTAAACTTTTGCCATTCAGAAGTTGTCAATACCTATAAAGTTTTATTAGGAACAAAGCCTTTAATGTAGCAACTTCTTACTAATGAAGAGATCAATTTTTTTTAATATTATAACTTTATAAGGTAAGTGTGGAGCACGCTTATTTCTATTGTTAAAAAATTAATTTGAATACTCATGAGGTTTATTAGGGGCAAAGGCTTCTATATTATATTGCAATTTTAAGAAAGGCTTTACATGTAGATGTAAAATATGACATTTTTATCAATTGGAAGATTGGCGTCTCATTTATTTTAATAATCATCCAACCATACACATTTAATAGATAATTCGAATACAATGTTTTAATTATTCACATAATATATATATATATATATATATATAGAGGATATACATACATCTTTCACTTTCAGTAAAAATGAACTTTTAGGATACCCTTTGATTTGAGGAAAAGAACATAAATCTCAGAGTCTTCAATTTACGAGAAGTTGAAAAATATAAAGCAAATTCGGATTGTCACAAAATATATTGAAAGATATAGGTGTCCATGATTATGCTTCGCATAATTGGATATTTTATCATTGTCATTTAAATAGAACATTTAACATAAATTCGTCAAATAGAAGTGGCGTATCAAAGCAAAGACAGTAGCAGTAGAAGTAGAAATAGTATGAGAATGTGAATGAGAATGAAACAGTAATGATAATATTGCTGATAACACTCATATTTTTGTGCTAAATCAAATTTGGTTGAGTTTCAATAAACACAATTCGTGTTTTAGCTCTGCACTAATATATAAGCGCTTTTATAAGAGGAAAAGGATGGTTGTTAGGATATTTTTATAGAGAGATTATTAATTGTGTAGAATTAATTAAATTGGTGTAGAATTAAAAGAAGCGTGATGACAAAATAAAAATTGGGCTTTTTACCAAAAATTGGGAAAATATTATGTAAAATTAAAATTTTTAGAGATGTGCAACGAACAAAAAAACATTTTATATAATCAATTGCAATTGAAGAGGAGGATGTTAATAATATAAGTGGTTCAACTATACCTAATGTTTTAATAAATGAAGATATAAAAGCTTTTGAAACTGCATTTAATTTCCTTGAACAAAATAATTTACGAGTAAATCAAAAGCCTCTAACTTATTAGAAAAAAAGTAACAGCTTATATTCTCTTGTTTCAACGAATTTAGATGATTGGTCCGTAAATTCGTTTGACTGTTTATAATAAAACTTCTTTATGAGAATATTAAGCCTATAGAAAAATGCCACCATCTAAGAACAACAACTCTAAGATCATTTTTGAACTATTTTTTTTTTTGTTACAAAAAAATGAAACATACATTTATAGTCAAGACACTGGCTACAACTTTTAACCTAATCACAGCCAGCTTTTTTATTGCGACTGGTATAATAAAAAAATTTATAAAGCGTAACATATTCGTTGTACGGAAATGTGCTCTTACCATTATTATTACTATTACTATTACTATTATTATTATATATTACGAGGCATAATAATAATAGCACTGATTCGTATTTTAAGGCACTATTACTATGCTATAATAATAATAATAATAATAATAATAATAATAATAATGTATTTTCCGTATGATTTTACGTATTAGTATATTAATATTAATATTATAATCAGTATGTTTTAATCAAACAAAATGTTTTGTAAGAAAAAAAAATGACCATTTTATTTTTTACTTGATAATAAAAGGTCTGTTTTTTATTTTTTTATTTGCGACTTTATAATAATATTCCAGAAATATAAAATCTTATTCTCATATCCCGTTTTAATTCCACATTTACAAATGTCCCTATATTAATATGGAAAAAATACGGATTGCTTACTCAATTGGTTGCAACTTTTAATAAACTGAACGTTTACGGCGATCACGGAGATATAGTGGAAATATTCTGGAATGTCATTATTTACAGGGCTAGAGATAAATAATATAGATTCGATTTGCACTCATTATATGTAACAATTATTTTTATTTCTTCGGACTTTGCTTTGCGCGTAAAGATATCTAGAGAGGTAAATAACATCAGTTCGGTTATGTGTATTAATTAATTGGCATATTTTCATGTATTTGTGTTTAGAATAAAAAATATTTATAAAAAAATAGAACTGTATGAAAAAATATACACAAAAAATTATAATAGAGACAGACAGGGCCGATATATGATATCATAATCTGTGATTAAATAACGTTGATTAATTAAACTAGAATAATCAACTATATTACAATCAACTGTTGTTGTTGTTGTTGGATCGATTGTTGGACTGGTAGGATTTGATTCTTTGAGCTTTTGATTACTATTAGTATTAGTAGTGCTATTTTTTCTTTTGGAGAAATCGACCATAACAAAGTTAGTGGCGAATTTGACAGTATGGGAATAGTTATACCCGGGATTTAATTCTTTATGAATTACTCTCGATTGATCTGCTATTTCTACGAATATGTTTTTTTCTTGTGGTGTTGCTTGCTTCCAAAGAAATGAAGCATAACGCGTCACATGTTTCATATTTTTGCCCCATGAGTAACCATATAATTTAACTACTTGGTTGAAATTTATTTTATAAATCATGAAACTGTTTAGTGGCCTTTTAACCCTCTGAGATCCTATTTTCCTAAAGGATAATGCAATGTCCCTAGCATTTACTAAAGGTTTATAAAATAAATCTCTATTACGACTCAACTCTTTTTCTAATTCACTAAACGGTAAGGGTTGTTTTTGTGGCGATATATTAATTGTTGACATTTTTTTAAAAGATAAAAAATGATGAAAATATAAAAAGTGAACGATTATGTATTTATTCTATTATTTATATATTATATTATTATTATATTATTATTATATTATATTATTATTATTATTATTATAAAATTATTATAATAATTATTATTATTCTTGTTGTTGCTGATGTTGGTTGTTAAGTTTAAGGGAAAAATAATTAAAAAATTTAACATTGGGAAAAAAAAGGTTATATATATATACTTTTTTTTTCTTATTTTATAAAACGCGATGTGACACTACCGAATTTGGACAGCCCTTGATTATTTACAAGATTTTAAGTTAAACGTCGCGGTGAGTGAGCGGTGGCACATGCACGAATTTATTTGTATTTTAATGTTAATATTAATTAATATAATAACAAAGCAATAATAATAAAACAAAAACAGGACAAAATGACAGATTTTTTTCTTCTCAGGAGCAGTAAACATCAATTAACTAAATATTAATATTAAATAGCTTGCTTGATAAACCTTTTTTTTTTTAATATATATTGCAAAAAAAAAAAAATACAAATGCAGTGACAAGTAGAAAAGATTGATTTGTTCCATAACATAAATTAATTTTTTTTACTGCCTTATCCAAATTTGTAACCCTTCAGTATTAACCTTTTCCAATCTTTTATATTCTTCTAATGCTGCTTTAGAGACCTTTAATTGAGTGGAGTCAAAACTGAGAATATGCAAGTTTTTTAATGAAGGAGCTCGGCTCATTGCAATGTATATTTGTCCTTCAGAAAATATGTTCTTCATCAATATTCAACAATGCAGTTGGGCTTGTTTTATAAAATATGAGTGTGTCATCATCATCAAGAACTAGGGAGAATGTTCATATAACTGTGGCCACAATGAGCCTTCAATTCTCTAGTTCATCTATTTACCATCAATCCCCCAGGGCACAGGACAATGCGGGGGCTCAGAAACTAGGAAGAACATTCACAATTGAAATCATGGCCACAATGCACTTTCAATTCCCAGGCATTTTTACATTAAGTGGCAGCATAATTTTAGATACACAAAAACTCGACAAACTCAGTGAGATACTCACCTGTCCACTCATGTTCAATTCCAAAGCCTCTATGCAATCCTTTTCTAATTGTTTGAACTTTGTTGTAGAAGACAACATTATGATGGTTTATTTTATGATTAATTTTATGATTAAAAAAGATTTCCATCAATAAGATATTTTTTGCAACTATAACCAACAATCGTGTGTTGATTTTATAAAAAAAGTTTTTGGGATCATGCAATTCACAAATTTAATATTGGATAATTGATAATCCTAGATAATCATGGATAATCACAAATTAATGTTACATGCAAAAATAAAAAATGAACACAAAACTGCAGGTTCTGGCTAGTACTAGTACTAGCTTTACTTTCATTTTTATTTAGAGGTATTGCTATTTATAAGGTCAGTAATGTCCATATTTTTTTTTTTTTAAAAAAAGTACAAAAACATAAATGAATTTAACCAATCAAATTGCAAATAATATAGGATCAGAATTTTAAAGTATATAGTAACAATAAATAATTTAATCCTAACCACAGGGATTATCCTAGGATAATCTTCAAAAAATTTGTGAACAGGTGTAATCCAATCCAATTTGTGAATACAGCCATTGCAAAAACCATTGAACGCTCACAGCCTCAACACATTTATATTAGTTAAGCAGTAATACCTCCTTAAAATGGATAAAAAAGTTGATATTAAATTAGTATAATGTAAAAAAAGCAAAATCGCTATTTAATACAAGCGATAAGTAATAATAATTTTGATATGCCAAACGTTTTCTTCCTCTAAATCTAAAGCGTTTACGCCAAGAGATCTCCTCTCGCAAAAAAAGTAAAAGAAATAAATCATGCATAATTTATATATTCACTATACAGTATTCCGAATTCAAAAATTCTTTTATAGTAATACTAATAAATAAACATGGAATTTCCCTGGCAATCTTTATACATTGTAATGGCAACTCATTCATATCATATATAAATAAAGTCGACAATTTATTCCTTTCCCGGATGCACCAAATGAATAATTTTGAATTATTAAGAAAATAAATTATTAATTAATGAAACACCGTTATTAACAATTTGGTTGTAATAAATTGAATAATCATATCAATAGTTGGTTAATAAAGGAAATCCAATCAAATAAATCAAACAGTTCTTCTCGGAAAGTGAAGCAAACAAGAAGGCAAAGAAAAAAGCACATTTGAACAAATTGACGAATTTTCCATATTAATATGTTATGAAAGAGATGTTCAATTATTATAATCGGAGTTTAATCAATAACATAAATATATATGAATTGATTGACAAAGGGTTCTAGAATGATTTTCAGGATCATTCTCTCAAAGCTAAAAAAAACTATGTTAGAAACTATGCTACAATATATTTATATACCCGATAAGTCAGTCCTCTCAATCAATTGTTTAAAGTAACCAATAAATGTCCGATTTATCGATTAATTAAAAGAATAAAAATAGGCTATATAATTATTATTATCAATGAAAATATATATATAATAATCAAGTTATCAAATAATTACCCAGATCCGGAACAACTTTATTCAATATAATGGTTATTGTCAATTGTTTCATTGGCATAATTACAAGCTTACTTTATTTCGTCACTTTTTAGTATTTTAATGATATTGATATATAATTTATAATAGAGTATTTGGACAATTAACGGACAACCTTTTTTTCTTCACATCTATAATAAATTTGTTAATCACAGTTGGGACAAACCTCTGTTTCAGGGTTTTAATTAAGTAAAAAAATTTAGGCAATAAATTTTATGTAAAATCATTATGTGATAATTAGTAAATAGATAGAACAGAAAGTAATGAAGGAAAAAGCAATTGTAGTGATATTGAACATGATATATATATTCAAAGTCTTTTTTTAAAAAAAAATTGCATAAAATGTACATCACGCGCATGAAATTTTGAAATTTCATGCAATTTCCCATCTCTAGGTGTAATCGACCTATGATGACGGTGAAAGAAAATTGTCAAAAAAAAAGAGTCCTAAACCCATTTCAAGTAACAAGCAAATTCAATGTTGATTTTTCTATTAATTAATTAATACACATCTAAACTCGATAAGTCGGACATTTATTTATATTATAAAGTACTTACAATTGATTGCTGCGTCCGACTTATCGAGGTTAGATGTGTACTATGTAAAAATTTTAATCATAGAATTTCTATTTTAATATTCCCAGCCAGAAATTAAACAAGTTTATAAATTTTTTCTTCTATAGAATATTCAATTTTTAATCCGCAGATCGTTTATTAACCAGGGGATTTTAATATTAATAGAAAATGCGGTGTTTGTCACTAAATTTTCACGTTGTTTGACATTTATTCTATCGTTACAAATAAATTTTATAACCATTTTACAAACACGGTCAATTCTTTTTTTTTAATTAGTAAATGTGCTGTAAATGTGCCCCGCATTTTCTATTAAAATCTCCTGGTCGATAAACGATATGCGAATTAATACTATAATTTTTCAGATTTTTTAAAAAAAATGGATAATTATCATCACAACTATTTAAAGTCATTAAATTTATCAATAATAATTTTCAACTTATTTTTATTAAATGGTTTCAACGTTTTGGTTTCTGGTCAAATAGAATCTCAAAGTTCAATAGTGTTAAATGATAAACTCTATTATTTTGGAGGATATTCTGGTGTTTCAGTTATAAACCAAATAATTTGCCTAGATTTATCCACATTATTTTCACTTAATCAAACATTACCAATAAAACTAATAGTTCCAAAATCAGAAATACCTCCATTTTATGGTGCATCATTAGCATTAGGAGGGGCTAATGATGACACACTTTATGTTATAGCTGGAGATAAAGGTGCATCAGTAGCATCTGGTCCTACAAATTATGGATCTATAGTTTATTCAATAAATACAAATTCATTTGATACATGGACTGCAGAAACCCTAAATGGACAATTACAATTAAATAAAGTTGGTCCAACAAGATATACACAAGATAATAATGGAAACACATATATAGTCACTACAAATGATTCAAATATATATAAATTCAATGCCAAAGGTTTGATATTTACAACCTTAACACCAAGTAATAGTGGTCCATCTATATTACTCATAGATTACTTCAATTGTCATGCATTGAATGATGAGACTATAATTTACCTTGATCTTTATGCAGCTCAAGTAATAATATAATTTATTCTTTTATTATTTAATTAAAATAAAAGGAATGAGAATATTATATTTTCTAATAATACATATTATGTT